TTATGTTAAAGTTGAAGGGAAATCTGACAGGCCGTGTGTGGATTATCGTTTGTTAAATGATATGACAATTCGAGATTCTTACCCTTTACCAGTAATTTCTCATTCATTGAACAATCTTCATGGTTGTAAATATCTTTCGAAAGTTGATCTTAAAGCGGCTTTTAATTTACTTCGAGTAGCTCCAGGTCATGAATGGAAGACAGCTTTCCGAACACCATGGGGATTATATGAATATCAAGTTATGCCTTTCGGATTGGCTAATGCTCCGGCTACTTTTCAGCGGTTCATCCAACATGTGTTACGTGAGTATTTAGATGTGTGTTGTTTTGTTTATATTGATGATATTTTGATTTTTTCTAGGGATAAAGATCAACATTTGGTTGATTTGGAAAACATTCTGAAGAAATTGAGAGAATTTTCGCTGAAAGCCTCTTTGAATAAATGCAAATTTTTTTGTCCCCAGGTTACCTTTTTAGGTTTTGATATTACAGCGGAAGGACTCAAGATGAACATGAAGAAGTTAGATACTATTAATCAGTGGCCTTATCCTACGAATCTTAAGGAACTTCGTCGGTTTCTGGGTTTCACAAATTTTTACAGGAAATTTATCCCGGCGTTTTCTCGAGTGGCGGGACCTTTGATGTCGTTAACTAAAGGAGATTTGGGTAATCAAGTTTCATGGCGTACGGATTTGTCAGTTAAGGCATTTGAAGAGTTGAAATCATTATTTGTTAAGGAACCTTTATTACTCCATTTTGATTTTGACAAACCGCGTTACGTTCATGTTGATAGCTCTGGTTTTGCTATTGCAGCAGTCCTAAGTCAACCAGATGATCGTGGTAATTTACTTCCGGTCAGTTATTTTTCTAGGAAGTTGACTGAAAGGGAGCGGTCGTGGATGATATTTGATTTAGAACTACTTGCTATCGTGGAAGCGTGTGAAGAGTGGAGAGCGTGGTTGATGGGCACGGAGGAACCAGTTAAGATGTTTTCAGATCATTCAAACTTAGTTTATTTCAAAACTGCAAAGTACTTATCTCCAAAGCAAGCTCGCTGGGCTTTGTTTATTGATAATTTTAATATGTTAATATATCATGTTTCAGGGAAGAAGAATCCTGCTGATGGACCTAGTCGTTGTGAGGACTTGGTAGGTGAAAAGACTCGTGTGTCGGAGGCTAAAGCAATTGTCGATTGGTTGGTTTTCTCTGAAGAGTGCAATAGTATTGACGATTCTGTCATGGTAGGGTTCCACGGGATTCATGATATGTCTTTTCAGCGACCGAATAAGGCTTTGTTAGATTATTTTGCGAAGCATTATGTCGAAGGCAAAACTAAGGGTAAAGATATACGGCGTGTGGGCGAGTTAACTTTCCACCGCGATAGAATTCTGGTTCCAGCGACTTTCCGAGTAAAGATGCTGCGAATGTATCATGATGCGCCTACGGTCGGACATCCGGGTGTCGCTCGGACGTTGTCAACTTTGATGAGGACATTTTCTTGGCCATTTGTTACGAAGTCGGTTACTGATTATGTTAGGTCTTGCGATTCTTGTCAGAGAGTGAAAGCTCGACGGCAGGCTAAGGATGGTCAACTAGTTCCTTTGGTGGCGGGTCCTAAACCTTGGAGTACGATAGGTATGGACATGATAGTTAAAGTGCCGTTGTCAGGGGGTTTTGATTCAATTTTAGTAGTAATTGATCTTTTGAGCAAACTGACACATTTTATTCCTTGTAAGGAAGCTTCCTCCTCAGCGGTTTTGGCAAACTTGTTTTGCAAAAATATTTTTCGTTTACATGGTTTGCCAGATCGCATAGTTTCCGACAGAGGTGCTACGTTTGTCAGTGAGTTTTGGAAATCATTAATGACGTCTTTGAGCATTCAATCATCTTTGTCAACAGCTTATCACCCGCAAACGGATGGCCAGACGGAGCGGATGAATCAAGTCTTGGAGGACTATTTGCGACATTACTGTTCTTATTATCAAGATAATTGGGATAAATGTTTGGATATGGCGGAATTTTCAATTAACAATTTGGATTCGGCAAGTTTGAAAATTTCCCCTTTTTTCTTTTCTTATGGTCATCATCCTAAATTTAATATCATGACTGAGTCCATGGGTCGGAAGGATTTGGATGAATTCATTTTGGATTTGCAATTAACTCAAGAAACGGCAATGGAATGTTTGATCCAAGCACAAAAGTGTCAGGCTCTATATTATAACGAACACAAGAAGCCTTCTCTGGTATATCAAGAAGGTGAAATGGTATTGTTACTGAGGAAGTTTATTGAGTCGAGAAGGTTGAATTCTAAGCTAGATTACAGGTATATCGGTCCCTTTAAAGTGAAGGGGATGATAGGTAAAAATGCGGTTGAATTAGATATTGAGGCTGAATACCCGAGGTTACATCCGGTGTTTAATGTTTCTTTGGTAGTTCGCTATGTTGGCCCAAACAGTATTATCAATCGTGGTTTGGTCGAAGGTATTAAAGAGAAATATTATAAAGATGAAGAGGTGGTTGATTGGACTATGATGAAGTTGATTTTAGATGCGCGTTCTTTTAAGAAAGGTAAGTATGATTTCTTGGTGGGCATGGAAAGACTCTACCGTAGCAAATGATACATGGATTGCTGAACATCATTTTCCAAGCTCAATGAGGTCTTATTTACAGACTTTTAGGGAACTTCATGCAGATTATTTGGAGGGGAAGAAGGAAAAAGAAAAAGTAAAGCTGC